TATATATATATATATATATATATATATATATATATATATATATATATATATATATATATATATATGTTTAAATGGCCACTCTAGCACTTTTGAACAGGCGGTGCTGTGAAATTTTATTTGGACAAAAGACCTATGAGCATATAGACCTATCTAAAATAAAATAACGATGAAGAATTATATGTTGGGAATTGATAAGATTTTCATGAATCCAGTTCCCATATCGATTCTCTGAAACAATTCTATTCCTTATTGATTCTGTGGAACAATAAACCTGGTTAGTGCTGGTGACATTCGTCTACCTTCGCCTGGGACATTCTATTTCTGCCTGCCTCTGGGAAAACAGAAGTCAGTGAACGGGAGCTGCCAGCCTCTGAGCCAGCCAGGCTACCCTTCCCGTCACACATATCTAAATCTAATGGAGAAGGCATCCGTTGAAAAAACATTACTGTACAATTTCTCCCTGATTTAAATTAACCAACGTCACCTTTCAAGTTTATAGCATGTTTAATAACTCCAAAGAGAGATAGGAAAATTGGTTTATTTACAGAACTGGCATATGATCTACTAGGAACCACATTAAGCACAGCCAGTGATATAAAACTAGCTACTTACCACCAGAGTTGCCTTCCATGCTGGTCGTAACTTTAGCTTCTATCTGAAAGCATCAAAAACACTGCATTCATAAAAATGTATGCCATGTTGTGTGCGCAGGTGTTTCTGCATGTTGGATGTATTTCCTCCCACGGATGTAATTTTCACTTTGCAATGATTGCAAAGCGCCTTGTTGCCATCTTTCTCTTCCTTAAAATCAAGCCAAACTTTCGATCACTTTGACTACTTTTGTTTCGCTTTTCTAGGCTTACTCCTGGTCAAGTCGTACTTGCTTACTGAATGTAAGTGTGTAAAGTGCATACCCTAAGAAAACGTGACATAAGTTGTGCTGCACCGAGTTAGGGTCTAGTGCTACCTGGAATTGATAAGAGAAGTGAGCTGCAAAACGGTGCCTTTTTTTATCCTTGACGTGAGCATCAGGATGATTTTCGTTTAAAGAGAAAAACTGCATTTCTTGCTATATTTATTAAGATCTACACTCAATAGAAGCGGTTTGTGTCATGAACGCAACCTGGGTCTAATCTAATCTGATCTAATTAACACTTTATTCACTTGCCATACCCACCCCGCTCCCTAATTATCCTTTATCTTATTCACCTGCTTCCTCTGCTATATATACGGTTCAGCCTAGCTATCGGGGCCAGATCATTATTCTTCTATTTCTAGTTTATTTTTCTATTCTTTGTTTATGTTTGTTATGTTTTCGTATCAGTTATTTATTTATGTTAGATACGAGTTAAGTTCCTGATTCATGTCTTTGAGTTGAGTCTTGGAGGCCAGTAGATTGAGAGGGTTTGGTGTTTGTCTCCTGGTCGTGTCTCAGCTCTTCTCCGCTGAGCCCTCAGGGTTTGGGCTTGGAAGGTCATTTGTAATTCCTGTAAGGCTCCAAGGTGGAGACCAGCTTAAAGTTTGGCAGTTATCCTAGGATTTGGGGACATTTGATGTTGAATGGACAGATTCAGCTGTAAAATTGGGCTGGAAACAGGAGATTTTGCTTGTGGGGGTCCAGTTGGAGGGTTCTGTTGGAATTATTTGGGGGGTTTGTTGTTTTTTTTTTCGAGTGGTCCCTCTACTCCAAAGTAGAGACTGACATTTTTTCGGGAATCCCACGGGTCACGGGATTCCCTTGGGATAAACGGGAGCAGACGGGAGTGGGAGCAAACCAATAATAACAGAAAAAAAACTAGGATCGATGCCAAAAAATAAAATAAAATAGAAAGAAAAAAAATCCAGTACTGGCGCGGCGCCGCCATTTTGTAGTTTTTTTCCTTTAAAGCTACAGTGTGTAATAATTACAGGGATATACAGTCAGAAATGTAATGTTTTATACATAACTATGTTATTTTATCATCATCTACGAGCTCAGCCTCTTAACCTTAATATTTGCGTTGCCTTAGAATTCGTTATTTATAATTACATAGGAGCGGGNGGTTGATACATTGATAGCAAGTCTGTGATATATTTAATCATTCACAACAACATATTGTTTGTTTATTTTACTACCAAAGAAATCACTTACATCAGTCATGTCAGTCGATCATGTAACCAGGCCAGGGTGGACTGGTTACATGACTGACTCCTGGCCTGAAAAATTCTCCCAGTCCGGCTCTGCATGGGTCTGTTCCTACTTACTGGAGCCGTTGCTATTGGTCTACTTCTACCCCGACTACCCTGCCCATGTTCCTGATTAACCATGGTTGTAAGACTAAAATGCTGCTGGGATGCCTTTCTTCAACAAAGAGAGAGAGAGCAATAAAGGCATGCATAAATAATGGGGGAAAGGATGGCACTAAATACAGGAAAATCATTTAGTTTGTGTAGAAGAATGGAAAGGACCTGACACAGAAGTAAACGCTGAAAGTTTTCAATTTTTTATTCTGAGGTTACATGTTTTTTGGAGTCATTCATTCATTCATTTGCAGTCTAGTGTCGTTAGTTGAAAGAATCTAATTATATTTTCTTGTGCATTCTTTTGCTCTAGTCTAAGAAGTTTATTTTGAAGTCTTACAGAGATTGTCGATAACAGTGGGACAATATTTTCTTTTAATTCAGATTTTGTGTTTTAGTATAAGACCTTTTGTGTTTTTTGGGGATGTGTAGACTGATAAATGTGAAGGAGGAGTTTGGAGATGAAACAAAAATAAATAACAGTTGGATCATTTGTCCTATTCCCCTTTCAGAAAGGAGCTACCAGAAAACTGCAACAGTGTGCAGTATTCAAAAATATGATTCCACAATGGAGGTAAGCAGAAATAATGTGAAAGAACATAATTATGAAAAATAATGTTCCTATTATTTGAATACAAATCATATTTATATTCATATATTTATCCTAAGGAAATTAATGCAGAAGATCCAATTATGGAGTTGAACCGTGAAGAAGGAGTTAACCCTGCATTGCAAACAGGTGCTGATTGTGTGGCTAAGAAACGTCAAACAGGTACAGATGAAAAAAGTCAGTCTAATTAATTTAAGAAAAACAGACTATATATAAATATATATATATATATATATATATATATATATA